AGGATACGAATATTTCTAATTCACGCTCTACAAATGCTAATACATTATCATTCATGGGTGCAGAGGTTGTGTTCTTTCCACTTTGTCGCATCGATTGAGCATGTTGTTGCTTTTCTAACACTTCCTTCAACCTGTTGAATATATAGTAAATTGTTTATAAATATATTATCTAGAAAGAATTCAAAAAATATATATTATTATTTTAACCAGTAAATATAAGTCCTTAAGAGCAGTATATTTGAAAGGATTACAACACGTTTACAAGAAAAGGGAAGAAGAGTATTTCTTTCGAATGGGACGTCCAACTACTCATCTACTCACACTACGTAGTGCCACTTATGACTCTGAAGAAGTACGAGTTTTTCGCGTTCAACTACCCACATCTAACCCATGTATACGAATTCGTAATTCCTTTCATCATGCTATCTGCACTATAGATCTCCGTAGGTTACTACACGAACAACAATTATTTGCATTATATAGTTACCTTTTGTTATTCGCCATGGCCTCCTCAAACTTGCGTTTTAATACGTTACGTTGTTTCAAATGAAGCTCTTCTTTACGCTTCATCTCCATATTTTTTTTAAGATCTTTGTTTTTCAGCTGTATAAGCTCTTTCTCGCGCGTAAACTTCCATTGGCGGAATTGGTCTGACTCTTGCCGCATAGTGCGTATCAACTTCACCCTCGACTCTTTCATAAGCCTAATGTCATTATTTAGATTTTTAATCATAAGTGTATCTTTCTCCCGAAGTTTCAACATTTTGGTTTGTTGTTTAAGCTGCGAACGGACTTTAGTTAATTCTGCCTCCAATACTTGTAAACGCTTGCGACGTTCCTCCGCTAGTTTAGCAGACGCATCTTTTTTGGTGGTCTGTAACTTATCTAACAAGTCCTGCTTTTCAATTTCTAGTTCATTTATTTTACACTCATATTCAATCAGTTTCTCAGGATTTTCCTCAACAACTGAGAACTTGTTCAGACTGCCCGCAACACGTTGGTGAAGTTCCTCCTTGATGTTAAGTGCTCTTTCAATTTGTCGCAATTGCTCTTTTAAATTTATTTGCTTATTAGTAAAGGCGTCTTCTTCTTCTTGCATCAATATATCTGTACTTTCTGACATATTTTCATCGTCCACAGATCTATTACCCAGTGGACTCTTGTTTCTCTCTAATTCTAGTTTTGTATGATCAAGTTCCTCATCGAGATTATCAATTAATTTTTTCATTTCAGCTACAGATTCTATTAATGTTGGTATTTTTTCTGGTGAGGAATCAATTTTGAATTCCTCTTCTAAATTCATTATAATTTTCCTTAGTTGCACCGTTGTGTCTTTTAATTTCTCATGTGCCACTTCAGCAATATGCGCACGCATCTCATTATCTGCAACATCATGTAAAGTCGCCTGTAATTTTTGTTGCAAGTAACGATTTTTCTCCTGAAGTTCAAGATATTTTTTGCTGTGTATTTCATGAAAATTATTGTAGTCAGCAGGGTTGGAATCAATTACTGGCACAGCGCCTTGTACATCGACTTTTAGTGAAGCGGACATATTGCCACCCACAGCTAACAGCTCCATCCGCAACTTTTGTATTATGCCCTTGAGTATACTAACCTCCATGGCGTGTGGATCTTGATTTATGATTGGTTTATTCTTAATCTGGCGAGCACGATCTGCATATCGTAACGTGCTTAATGTTTCCGCAACATTATAATCAGCTGGACTGACACAGGCGATCATCAATGTTACAGAGTTTCCGCCCAAGGAATCTTGTAGTAAGCGAGTTAACTTCGAGTCGCGATAACGAACATGACCAGCACCTTGACCAGCTGTAAGAAAAGAATACATTGCATTATTTCAAATAATATATTTTAATTTATTACACATAAAAATATTAATCTTTTTTATCAGAAACTTATTTGATTTGATTTGAAGAAATTTGTATATTATACTTATATACGATAAGTAAGATTAAGTTGAAGTGGGGGCTTGGTACACCAAAACCTACTGAGTTCTATATTTATACAAATTAATAGTCATAATATATAATTTTAATTTAACATAGTTGGTTCTAGGCATTCTGATACAAAAATCAGGCATTATCTGCCACAACTGACACTGATGCGCAAATGAAGGAAACACACCTTATATCGGTTGAAGATATTAGACTAGATTAAGTAGGTTTGATGCTATAACTTATTTAGTAAATAGGTTTCATAAAGAGGTTTTTTTTCGATTAGTAGTGAACTACAACAACAAAAATTTTATTTTTTATATTTTAATTAATTGAATTTTTGGCTGATCATACAGCTGTTTCGAGTATTGTCAAATACCCGTCATCAGTGGTCTTGGAAATAATTCTTGTATTTAATTATTCGTAAATAATTATTTTTAAGACTGCAAGTACTAGGTTTCAGAAAAATCTAGGTCGTAGTCGTAGAATTCTCCAACTTAATAATAATAAACATAAACCACTTTTGTTTCAGCTCAATTTAATAGTTAAAATGAAAAAGTCGTCAAATTATAGATACGATTACTGTTGTTTTATATCAACTATAATGTTGTAAGGAATATATAGGGATAAACCTATCTTTTTCCCAACGAGTAGTGCTGTATCTGATCAGTTCATCGGGTGTACAGTTTTCAACAATCTTAATGTGGCTTAGATAAATAAACTTTAGTTAATTGCTTTTTCCATTGAGAAACGATTAGGACGACGATAAGCTTGCTTTCTCTTCGTGAAAGTACAGACATTGCTTTTAGCATATATAGATTCAAGGAGGATTTCCTCAGTGACAAGTAAGTGGTATAAAACGAACACAAAAATAATTTTTTTTAAAAAGAAAGATCAAACACCTTTTCATATAGAACATGGAACATATGTATTATTAAACGTTGACATCATACCCACATTAAATACGTAATTTTATAAAATATTTAAAAATTTTTATATTTAAATATTTTAATAATTACTTAAAGCAAATATAATAATTTGTGTA